CGTCCAGATTGCGACCAGCAGCACCCCCGAGAGAGAGAGAGAGAGGGGGCTTGGGGAGGTCGATGACGAGGGTGGGCTAGGCCATGGCGGCGGGGAGGACGTGAGAGAGGAGGCGGAGATGGGCGGCGTGGGGCGAGGTGGGGCTTGGGGAGGAAGCGCGAGAAGAGGGAGGCGGCCGCGGGGGTCTCTAGGGTTCCTTTTACCCAGGCCACGATTGGCGAGGACGCGCTGCACACCTCGCGTACCAAAAACTGGAGAAAACTCACATGGGTCGCATGACCCCACAGCCAACGAGCCCCACCCGTCATCCTCTCTATAAGCTTACATTAATGTGAGAAAAAGCCAACGGTTGACCAGCTGCCAGCAGCCAAAAAAGTATTGTGGTGAATACATCCTGCGGTGAAAAACGTCTCGCGCGAGGAGTGCCCCTGAAATGGCGGGTACTCTAGCATGATTTATATGTTAGATATAAATGAATGGATCCGACTTTCTGCAACACTGTTCGGCTTATGCTGACTATTTTTCTCATTCAACGAAACCTGGCATGCCATCGTGACATGATACGAGCAAGGGTAATAATATAGCCGGCTGTTAGTTCTATCTAATTTGTGAAAAATCATCTAGTATATATAGCGAACCTAAAAGCCCACTCATATAATAGTTGCTCGCTCTATGAAAGCTGCCATTCGGTGCCCAAGCGCAAATGCTCTCGAAATCGTCGTCCCTGCGCTCTATAGGGATCATAAAATCGATAGCCATAAGCCCTGTTTGAAGAGGTTCGTATACGGGACACCTAGAAATTCTACTTGAAGCAGGACATTCAATTAAGCGAGATTCAGAAGCTACAATTTCATCTCTCCCATCAATAGGTTTAGCCAGAGCATTTATAACATGACCCAAGTTATATACGCTCATGGGTATCTGAGCAATTCTTCCTGTTGCTTTTATAAAATTTCCCTCTCCCGTTCGTGACTTGGGATCCGTAATAATAGCGCTGACATGACTGATAGGAGGCGGGGTAAAAAACGCGGTTCACGATATACAGTAGTCGTTTGTTTCTGGGACCGTAGCATACTAGTGGGACGGAGGACGTGTGTTGTCTGTTTCGGTTGTTGCTTTATTTATAAAGCGGGGCGAAAGCCTGTTTCAGAGGACGCGCGCGGCCGCCCTGGTGGGTGGACCAGGTCATTGACGAAAATATCCGAGCAGAGGACAAGATAAGTAGCTCCGAACGTTAGCGAAAATCTGAGCCCTTTTTTGGGACGTCGTTGTCCCAGACGCGAAAATTTTAAGAAGTTCTTGAACTTTTTTTGATTTTGCGAACAAATTTTGAAAACATGATTTTTTTTGTAACTTGTGAAATTTTTTTGAAAACAGGAATATGTTTTTAATTAATGAATAAAATTTTAAATACAAGCATTTTTTTAAAATTTAAAATTCTTTTTGAATTTTCGAACATAAGCGAACAAATTTCAAAAATATATATTTTTTGAAATTTCTGAAAATAATTCAAAACTGGAACGTTTAAAGAAAAAAAATGCGAACATGTTTAAATTTCTGAATTGTTGAAAAATAAAATGAACAAAGGAAAATAAAAAGAAACCAAAAAAGAATACGAGGTTCCCAAAATAAAATCCAGTCCACGTGTAATTTGCATGAAGCTATGAAACGGCCCGGCCCAATACCGGAATCAGAAAGGTTTGCATTGCGGCGAGAATTTGCCGCAACATGTGGCAAATAGGAAATCCGCTTTTGCAGCTTCGGAGTCCGCGTGCTCTTGTTGGGTGTCCTTGTAATCTCTAGACTTTTTTACGTGGCTGAACTACCTTTGTTTTTGAGTTTGCTTGTACTCTGCTGGTGTGGGCTTTATTAATTTAAATCCGGACTTGTTTTGCGTCTTTATTCTAAAATGAAAATCATCATGGCAAGTGTTAAGTCAGCACACGGTTGCCAATGTGCGAAGCACATAATGTACATGTCTTTGTGTTATATATAATCACCAGAAACTGTATGTTAACAAAAATATCACTTATCAGTGTTCAATAATACAAAGTGGTGCAAATAAAGGCTTCATGCCAATAAAAAGCAAATGTACAACAATGAATCCAACAACGGAAAAAAAATTAAATAAAATGGTCTCATCTCAACCCCCTCTCGGTCCGTTGTGGATCATTAACAAAACCAATGGTGCTTTCTTAGTGTTTAGTCAACTATATAATCAGATTGTGCAGTACTCCTTGTGTAACTAATTAAATACAGAAACTAATTTAGGGTTGGGATGATGATGATCTAGCGGTAGAGTTGTCCAGCTCCTTGTCGGCATTGTTCATTCTTGAGTCAAAGGCGTGCATCTCCGCGTATTGCCGGTCTTTCACCTACGCATCAAGCATAACAACAATTAATATTCTCATGAAATATATTGTGTTACCTTAATCAACTACTACCATGTAATGTCAATATTTGTATAAAAAATTGAAATGTACATATCTGCATACCTTGGCCCTGCTTCCTTGCTTTTCTCCGTTACCCTGCATGCCAATCGAGGGAGTAACAGAGAAAAATTAAAAGAGAGTATCTGAGAGCAGGCCACGCACGCAAGATATGCTTCATATGTAACATGTTCATGCTTTAAGTGGTTGTAGTGTAGTAAGTTGCTTAAACAATTTATGATGTATGACTTTGTGCTTGATAAATATTATGTCAGCACCTTTTTAATTATCGGTGCTCAGTCAAGAAGACACGGCAGTGCAATCATTCCTAGGCAGTGAAAAATCAATATATTTTGCTAAACATCTTCCCAAATGAACATGCTTTAAGCTGCAACCATACATAATATCTTTCTTGCGGCCTCTTGATGCTCATTGTGTTCGTATCCTTTTGATTCTTCATTTTGAGCCAAAAAAATTCACCGTTTGTCGAAAAAAATATCTTTCTTGCGGAAAAAGGGGATGCACCCAAATCAAAACACATGGATGGGCTCCTGGCCTAGTGGCAAGAGCGCGGTGATGTCTCTCGGCCGACTCGGGTTTGAACTGCCTAGGCAAGCACTTGGTAAAGTTACGTTACCTGATCTCTGAGTGTGGGCACTCCATGATGGACAACATATTGTGTGTCCACGATGCCAAATTGCTCTTCAGGGTCCTGCCAGTTCAAAACAGAAAAAAAAAAAAAAAAAAACATGGTGAGCCATGTCAGTTGTGCACAATTTTTC